TAAAAATTCTTGAAGACAGCCATTATGGAATGTAGTAGAATTGTTTTAGTGAAAGGATTAGTAAGAAATGTTCTTAGAGCAAGGTGTACTGGTGCTTGTAATGCCATCAGTAGAGAGGCCAAGACAGGAGAATTACTGTGAGTTTGAGGCCAGTGTAGACTATATATATAGCAAGATCTTGTGTCAAAACACCCAAAGAAAAAAGAAAATAAGAAAATAAGGTTCTTAGGATAGTGATTTTTTTAATCATATTTTTATATTGATTGAAGTATTTATAAAAATTTGTGTTATTTAACCTATATACAACAGGAAATTATAGAATGCCATAAAATTATTGAAAAATAACTGAATACTTCTGAAATTGTGCTAGAGCAAAGGAAATGACAATAAAAAAAAGTTTGATTCAGATTTACATCTGGATGACTTGTTTTAAACACAAGAAACAGTTTTGTGGTATTTGCAATATAAAATTATCTTAGAAGTAATTTTTATCCTTTGTGTCCAGTATTATATCTTATATTGAAATGATCAAACATACTCAAAAAGAATATTTATGGTCAGAATGGGTTATTCTAATTACAGATGGTAGTCATGTAAGTTTATGATTTTGCTTAATGACAAGTATATAGTGGTTTATTTTGTCATATTTCATATTTAATATTGTTTTGCCTTGTGAGAGTATATAGTTTTTAAAATGAACTTTTTTAGTCTAGATAACTTATTTTTAAGAAACAGAGTTTGTGTTCTTTGGAAGCTGATGTCTTCATGGATTAATCATATATATAATCCAACTAAAATGTAGCTAATTGAAATGAATTAGTCTTCACAATTTTTTCTCCATGAAGGCAGTATGGTCTGACTTGAATTCTGAGCAGAGAGTATACCTTTTCATTTTTTACTTACCTGATTGTTTTCCTGGTACAGTCTATCTTCTGACACCCAAAGTAACAGCCTTTTAGCTTTCTGGTGCCTTGGGTATGGCTGACCACGGCAGCCTTAAGCTTCTGGGTTCAAGCTGTCCTCTTGCCTCATCTTCCCTTGTGGCTTTATCTGGGACTGCGGTCCATGCCACTGTGTATGGTTTTAAAGTAGTGGTTCTTAAACTGTGGGTTTGAAATCACTCGAGACTACTTATTTAAAATAGTTTTTTTAGATGCTGAAACCCCAGAGATTCTGACTCAGCCAGGCTGCCTAGGAATTGGTATTTTAAACAAGAGAAGACACTGTGTCTCATCTTAAACAAGCACTGTAGAGGATTTTGATGTAAAAAAATTGTTTTATGCAAGATAGAACACTAGGTTAAAAGCTTTAAAATTATTCCCTTTTCACTCTGCTAATATTTACTGACCACTTAGGTTGTATCAGGCTCTTATTTGGGAAGCATTATGAGAGTTTAATATAAATATTATCTTAGTTGTGAGTTTGAGTTTTATAGAGCTATTAGGCTATAGATTGCTAGCTTTTTGTTCAATAACAAGACAGTAATTTTTAAAAAATAATTGGGAAGAAAACTGTTAAAATGTAGAGCATGTAAATTGATTTAAAGAATTTTCAGGTTCTGAAATATGTCTTTCTCATCTCACTGCAGTCCCATTTACATTTCTCATTTTTGCAGTCTATATTTAACATGGCTGGAGCCCTTATTTATTAATAATATTTAAACATTTTTATGTTTCATTGAAATTTTTATTTTCTATATGTGTTGGTATTATATGTCATAGCTGTTTGAGAAGAAAGAAATTTCTTTATAACTTATCCTGTCTTTTTGCTTTTTCTTTACATCCTGAAAAATTGGTAGAGGTGCTTTGGGAATCTGCCTTGCTTAATACTTCTTAGAAAAATGTGATGTACTGCTTTCATAGAAGGAGTGTGAGCGAAATGACCTCAGTCCCAGATGGACTCAGCTTTCTTTCCTTATCTGACTTGATGCTTCAGGGTTTGATAGTAGTAGAGAGTTGATATTGGTGGCAGTGACAGGGATGACAGCACTTTTTACCACTTGCTGGTGGAAGTACAGAGCTGTCATGCTTGAAAGCCATGGCTACAGTTTAGTGGGGTCTGAAAAAATGTGTGAATTGAATGGTAGAGATACAGTACATGGGTTATTTTTACATGTTGTGTTGTCATAAGCCAAAGGAGAAATATTATTGTAATTAAGTTTGCTCAGCTCTTTTTCTCCCACAAAAACATTATTCCTTAAAAAATCATCGTTTTCATATCAGTGATAAGCCATTTTTTCATGTTTCTACACCAGTACCACTCTATTTCATCTGTGGATTGCTGTAATATTATAATATTCTACCTCTTATGATATAGTATATGCTGTTATATTTCTGTTAGGTCTATTGTGTCACCTGGAGTGTTTTTCATTAATTTGAATGTGTTTTAGAAAAAAGGTCAGTTTTTAAATTTGTTTTCTTCTGTGAACTATAATCCACTATTCTAATTTATTTATTTATTTTGGTACTGGGGATCAAACTCAGGACCTTGTGTTTGCCTGCCAGGCGCTTAAGCCACTGAGCTATTTCCTCGGCCCTATTCTGATATATTTGTGTATCTCCTAGAGCTATGTGTCTAAGTAGTTTAGGTCTTTTCCTAGCCTTATCTTTGTTTTATCTTCTCCTTAGTCTTTCTTTTTATCATGTCCCCTGGGCTCCTGTTTTCCTCTAATGTTTATAACACGACTTTAACTTGCTGAGAGTTCCTTGAAGGGGAAGCTTAATTTACCATCAGGAGAATTTACAAGTGCCCATCGTTAATATATAAAGAAAATGATCTCCAAAAATTTGCTTAGTTTTCTTATTTCTCCCTCTTTTTGGAGGAAAGAAATTAAAGAAATACAATATTTTATGGGGGTTTGTATATCTTGTATACATTCACAAAAATAACCTATTTCACTCATCTCATGAAAAAACAAAGTTACATTTTCTGAGGTGATCTTGAAATTACTTTAATGTTGCTTGACTTTAATATAATATTAGTTATTGGACTTATCAATATTATCTTTAGAAATATTGCTATTGAGGGTTATTTAGTATCCTAAGGTTGCCTCATACCAAGTTGCTGTTACACAGTTGGTAAATCCTGTTGATTTTGCCTTCATTGCCTGTCACAGCTAACACTCCTTTGGAGAGCTACTGCATTGTTTTTGCCAATCCTTTTGTTGCATATCAAGTTCATGGCAGTAGCTTTCTGTCTTCTGTGTCTTTCAGAATCAATTATCTGCACATTACTATTCTATTAATTTGTTTGGAAAGTCATTTCTCATGTTATTATTCCTTACTCCAGTATCCTAATTTTGCCTTGTAGATAAACTTCTCAGTTTGTGTTACTTTCTTATAACAGAACATGTGCTCTTTCCACATCACGCTGTACTTGGTTTCTTTAACAATGCTTATGTTGTTCTTAAAACTAACATGCTTTTCTTCATAAGAACTTAACTATTCTTTTAAAGAATTTACCACATTTATCTCTTATTTTATATGTTTTTATACTTTTTACTATAACTTGAGCATCTGAAGTCCAAAAATCCAAAATGTTTTAAATTACAACTTTTCGTGCACAAACGTGACACTGTGTGTGTGGGGGGGAATTCTGCACCTGACCTCATAAGATAGATTTTAGTTGAAATTTAAATGCACTACAAATACTGTGTAAAATTATCATCAGGTTATGTGGATATGATGTAGATGAAATACAATTTTTTAAAAAAATATCTGTCTATCTGATCTATCTAACCTATCTTGTCTGTCAGTCTCTTACGTAGCTATTTCAAATTGGAAAAACTCTGAAATCTAAAAGACTTAATGGAGCTGGACGTGGAGGTACATGTGTATAACTCCACCACTCAGGAGGCCGAGGCTGGAGGATTGTTACGAGTTGAGGTCAGTGTAGGCTACCTAGTAAATTCAAGGTCAGTCTGAACCACATAGCAAAACCTCGTCTCCAAACAAAGCAGAACAAAACAATGATCCCAAACATTTTAGAATTGCATTTGCTTTTTAAATTTTTATGCTAGCTCCTTAGGAAAAAGTATTATTCATGATTTTTGGTGTTTAAAATTATTAGTAATAAGGAAAATTTTACACACTGGACAAAATCTATCCTGCATTCAGTGAGTTTTAAGCTTTCCATAGAAGAAATATATCATAAAAAATAAAATTGTCTAAACTTCTTGATCGTTCATTTAACCAGAGGTCATTTGCTCAAAATACTTGCAAATAGGTTCTGAAAGCTGAATTTTTAACACAAAATATTATTTTAGTTCACATATTATGTACTACTTTAAAAAGTCTTTTAAAAATGTATGTATATAGTACAGTGTCTCGCTACTCAGCTTAGACATGTAGTGATCCTACTGTCTCAGCCTCTCCATTACAGGTGTGCACCACCACACCCTGATTCAGTGGCTGTAATGGTCTTCCCGGGGTGGGGCCAGAACTGCATGTGGTACTGGGGATGGAACCTGGGTCCTTGCACTTGCCAGACAAGTGCTTAGACCACTGAGCTATCTATGCTGCCCTATTATGTACTACTTAACACATTAAAATGCTATCAAAAGTTGTAGGTGTGAATTTTCTTTGTTGTAGGTAAGTGGATGCTCTTTTGTATACCTGAAAGATCATTACAGGTGAACTAAATGCTTAATATTGTTTACTCCAAGGACAGAGGTGTGAAATACTTTATAGGGCAGTTATAATATCTGCCATTTGCATTTTATTTTGTTTCTTATTACAGAAGGTAAGAACACATGAAAACTACTAGGTAAATACATTAAGAAATCTGCTTTTATACTTAATTTTTTTGGCATGCCTGTAAACCTGAATATTAAAAAGTATTTAAAACACAAAGGGTTTTTCTTGAAATGAAGAGTCTAAAATTAGTCTGATTTTATTAAGATTATATAAGTAGATGATAAAATTTTAATTTATGTTTGGGTGTCTAAATATAAATTCATTTTCAAATTTCAAATGAAGATATCAGGACATATTCTGTTCAAATATGTTTATTGATTAAAAATTTTCTTAACACTTTTGTCCATGATATGTTAGTTTCTTTTCAGGATTAAAAAAAAAAAAATCAGTCTTGCTTATGCTACATTTTGTCAAGCTGAAGGGTTTTTTTAATTCCATAAAACAGTGGGAAGAAAAGCAAAAGGAAACTGGGTGTTTGCCAAGATTTAACATTATGTTAACATTATTATCAGAAGTAAATCACTATTTAATTTGCCAGTAAGCTCAGTGAATTCAAGCTAATGCATGATGCTCATTTCCTCAGGGATTAGAGTATTTAGTAAACTAGACTTGGTGAATTTCATTTATTTGTATAAAATGACATATTGTCTGACTTTTTTAATTTAAAAATGAGTTTTACATTATTAAGTGAATATAGTATTAAAAATAATAATTGCTGTCCAGCTAATAAATTACACTATAACAAGTACTTGGCTTATTTTAAATAACTTATTGCTATCTTTCTGATAGTGATCTTAGCACTTAATGTCAAATTATTACATTATACCAATTGAAAATATTTATTTGCTGTAGATTTTCAATCTTATAATCTATAGTTAGAATTAGTAATTTCATGGTTTTCTAACATGAATTGAGGAGTGAAGAGAAAAATGATTATTATATTGTGGTGAAGTAGAAAAAGTGACAGGATTTATCATTATCTTAATTATTTTCAGAGTGGAAACAGATCTACTTTATTTTAAAAAGCTTGGGAGTTGTGATTGCTTAGGAACATTGTATAAATTGTATTACTCTAGTTGCTCTGTATCTAAAGTTAGAAACAGCTTTGTTAGGCTTTTCTATAGCACTATAAAAAAATCCTTTTTTTCTTCTTTCTAGTATTCAGATTTGTATGGTTAACTTAGTTTATACAAAAAGGCCAAGTTGAATAAAGTTAGAAATCACTTTATTTTAACCACTGGTTTTTAATCAGTATTTTGATGACCTAGAACATTTGGCTTAGAACCAAGCAAATGAAGGAGGGAAGAAAAAGGTGCTTTTCCTTTCCTCTGTTATTATTATTATTATTTTTAATGTTATAGGCATAGTATCTTTGATCTTAGAAGATCAGTCTTTTTTCTTTTTCAATAATAAACTTTAAAAATTTCCCTATCTTGGTGTGCATATATAGGGATGTTTGTTTTTGGTTCTTGAGGTTTTAAAGTACTAATAAAGCTTATGGTTTTCTACATTCAAAAGGAAGAATAAAGTTTCATACATAGTTCATTACTTATGAAACATGATATAATATAGCAAGTATATTATACCAGGAAACAAACAGTGATACAGAAACTCGTGGACTGTTTTGAGCCTGTAATTTTGGTTCTTGTTAAAGGCTATTCCAGTTGTCATACAAATATATCTGTAGTTTGTGATTTAGAAACAATACACTTTATATATTTTTAAAAAGCAGATACCTGTATCAGTTACATTTTTAAGTTATGCACTGTTTTAAGGCTATGTATTTATTCTTTAAAAATATGACTTACATGAATATCTTCTGATGGACATATTATTGACAAAATATACACATGATAGTACTTTAACAAACTGCCATGCAACAAATACATTAAGTAATGAAGAAATTGATATATATGACCTAAGCTAATTGACATTCACATTTGAAAATTTACAACATAACCAATACTTAAAATGTTTTTTCTTATATTTGGCAGTAATTTCATGTTTTACAATTTAAATTTAAAACTCTCCTGAAGATAGATTTGGTGAACTTCACAATTTTCCTTAGTCTGTAACAACCTGAGGTACTAAACATTTCTCTCTTATTTCACTGTCTTCATAGGAAATTTTTTTGCTTCTTTTTGGATCTATCCAAGAGTTATGTATTACAGCATTATTAGGCATGGGGTCAGCTTCCACTATGGAAACAACTCGCTTTTTCATTTTACTTTTCAAAACTTTCTGAAATTTCTGTCTAGTGAATGCATATAATAGAGGGTGAAATATAGTTGTTCCATAAGCCATGACTAGAAAGCACAATCTTAATTTTACTAAAAGGTCACTTGGGCCTAGACATAAAATGGTGGTATTTAGAACAGAAATAGGCGTCCAACAGAGAAGAAATGTAGAAATAATCAATAAAGACATTCTGAAGACTCTTTTCTGCCTTTCTCGTCGTTCACGGTGTCGTTTCACGGCTCGCCGGAGGGCAATTATTACAGAAACTGAAGTTCTTACACCAAAGACTACATTTTTCCCACCACTGCTTTGTGACATGTCTGTAGTCTCATGTGTTGTTAGAGAAATTGTCTTTTTCTTTCTTGCTTTCTTTTTCTGCCCTGTTGAAAACCTCGTGCCTATTCGGATATTAAGTGCCTGAAGTATCTTGGTGTACGTGATCAGCATTACTATAACAGTAAAGAAGAATATTGGGATCTGTACGAGGAGGTGATAATACATTCCCAGCTCCGTGTAGTATTCGTTTGTACTGACACACAAAAGGGTCCTGTTTTCCCATGTGTTTCCACTTCGAAGAGTGAAAAAATTGACCTCAATAAAGGGAATTAAGAAGGAGAAAAAAGAAATAATCCAAATGGATATCATTAACATCACAGCTCTGCCCATTGTCAAAATTCGGTTTGCAGGTTTTACAGAGATGTCATATCTATCCAGAGTGATAGCAAAAACGTTGATTGCTGTTGAGACGCTTGCAAAAGAAACACAAGCCTCATGGAAACAGCAGATGAGAGCAGTGTTGCTCTCCAGTGAAAGCAGAAGGATAACTATAGTTAGAGGAATACAGCCCACACAAATTATTACATCCAGTACATGGAGATTCATTGTAATAATGTTACTGACAGAGTTGATTAAGTTGGATTTCATGCAGTAAAGTACCAATACGGTGAGGTTGCTGCCGAGTCCCAACACAATTTCTAACATAAGAAATCCAGTGAGAGACACTTGAAAGCTTAATGGATATGATAGTGGTTGGTACATATTGGTGTTGATGTCATCAATGTCATCTCGCACTGTAATGTTCGATTCAGACTGCATGTTGATTTCCAGAATGGGAGAAAAGCACATTCTTTTGGAGCAGTTGGTTTTTTCCCTAGAAAGTGAAATAGAACAAACTATTTGATATTTGGCAATTTAAATGATGTATAAACATGTATTCTTTGTAAACAGAAATAAGTTTGTTGTCTATTTAAAGTCCCTGTATTATTAGTGGAAAATGTAAAATTAAGAATATCAACACTATATTGCTTTTGTGTGAAAGGAAATTGTATTCTTCTTTTGAAATTATATGGGGATTGTTCCCCTATAATAATTAGTTAATATTCTAAAAGGGTTGCCATCATTTGCAAATAATTGAGATGTTTATTTTTGACAGCAGTATATATTTATGCAATAAATCTACCCAGTATGCAAGAGCAATTTTAGTCTGTTTTAAAATTTCATTTAAAAATGTTGTGAGAACATAGAAATAAATTGTTAATATGTTTTAGCAGGATTAGTGTATGTGTAATCCTGTAAGATGTCAAATGAATAGTACAGGTATTTATTTAAAAGAATAAACAGTAAAGAATACTAGTTTGTTTCAAACCATCTTATCAGTGTTGATGGACTATGAAATTAGTCAGAAATTAACAAAACACTAGGGGATATTTGGAATTATTTCCCACAGAAAAAGGTAAATGATAAATATTTTGTATATTATGATGAATATGCTCAGTGAATTTTTACAATGGGTAACTTATGAAAATGGGAAGAAGAGATAGTATCCCAAATCGAAATGCCTCAAAGCTTGGTAAAAGATTACTAATCACTACTATGAATGATTTATTTTGTGACCATATCTCTTGTATCTTGTAGAAGGAGAAAATTGAAATATAATACATATTAAGAAATAGCCATTTTGAAGTGGTTTAAAAGAATGTATCCATTGATTTTATTTGTTTAAACAGAGTTCTTAAAGTGGAAAAATGAAATTCTAATGAAAAGCAGTAGTAAAGCCATTTTTAAGGAAGCTCTTAAAATTACAGATTTTCTGTGAAACATTTTATATTGTTATGCATTAAATTTACCTTTAATTTTGAAAGTGAAGAAACCCAAACTGTATAACTAATGTAGGTAAATCTATAATATGTAGGAATTTAGAGTAATTTATAAAAATAATATCTGATTTTCTGGGCTGAAATATTTGTTTAAAATATGAAATCATGCAACCAACTATATTTCACATTTCAAGTACAGCTTTTTGACTGCAAAGTTATATATTCAAATATAAATTATAAAAGTTAATAATTTTCAAAATTCATGTTAACCTTTAATGTGATGTTACCTTTTACAAGTTTTATAAGTATAATTTTATTTATGCATGTTACTTTTTGGATAAAATTTCAGAAACAGAAAGGATAACATTGTTAATTGCTTTCAACTTGGTATAAGTATTACTGGAGGCATATTTGTTCAAGTATGTGGAGGTCTTAGCTAACACTGAAATCTTACAAAAATGGAAAATTTTAAGTGTGCCAAATTTTCTTGAACTGTCAGATTAAACACTAGGTATTTGTCACATCAGTTAGCTAAAGCAGAAATGTCAGGTTAGACAATAATTAAGGAAAAAAAATGCATCTTTTTGTAATTGTTAAAATAGTGTGGTGGGGTTGCATGCATATTCTGACCTACCTGGTTGCTGTTGCCTTATGGGACTTTTGGCTCACTATAGCAGTTTTTCACAGATTGATACATGATGTCATTGACAGGTTTTGACATGAATTTTTACCTGACAACAGTGAAGTGGCTGTGTTTTATTTCATGTCTTGTAGGAATTCTTTAATTTTCTCTCCAGTAGTTCAACTGCGTGAATTATGAGATTTAGTTGGCTGATGGATATCTAAAGAACAGTACATAATGTTTGTGTTTGTTTTGCTTTAAAAAGTCACGACCAAGAGAAATTTCCCCAAATGATGGAATTATGTTTCCCTTTGAGGGAGTTTATGTGTCTTTTTATGTTCCAAGATATGTGAAAATAGAAAAAGAAACACAGGGTTTCTAACTTCAAAAATGTATTTAGACATCCTTTTGTTACAATTGTAAGTCTTTTTCTATAGCAGCCCTCATTATTTTGAAGTGATTTCTTGATAACATAACTTGTTTTGTATTATAAATCCAGTCCACATTCTTTTGATAAAAACCATCTGCTATTTAATTTGGTTTGTTTTCATTAGAAGAGGATACATAATTGGTCATAAAACTCAGATGGAAAAATCCATTAGTCATATCAATTGATTGGAATATCTGAATATTTTGTGCAGAAAACACTTGGGAAAACTTTATTTTACTTGCTGATTAAGTATGTCATTCTCCTTTTTGAAATTCATGTTTCATTCTTTCTTCCAGTCTCAGTAGCTTCCACAATTCTGTTATGTTACAATATAAACACCCCATTTAAAAATGCTCACCATTTTGCTTTCAAGCTTTTACAGTTATATTGTATTTCTTTTTGGAGTTATTTTATATAGCATCTTCTTGAAATTCTGTCCATTTGTTATATTCCAGCAGTACTGTAGACCTAGTACCTCCTTTTAACTCTTTAGTTTCTTAAAATCATGTGTTACAAGAATATCTTGCAGTTCATGCCTTAGAGACCCAGGGAGATTCTCAGTTGCATTCTTCATATTGCCAGTTGTAAATGCTAAATTAGTTGTTATGGGCCTTTGTGAAAAAGAAAAAAAAATGATTTAAGAAATAAGGTCCATAATAATTTCTAATCAATTAAAAATTCCTTAGTTTTTTCTGAATTTAAGACCCTATAGTATTCATTCTCAAGATAAACAAAATATATTGTACAGTTATGTGCATAAATTAACTTTCTTGAAGTAAATATTCCCTTTTTCAAACAGACTGTATATATTTTCTTTACAGTAGTTACCATTGCAAATATAACCATTACAGAAAGGCTGTATTTTTAAATTATTTCTGCTCTCTTTACAGAAGCTAACATATATTTTCAGAGATTATGAAGTTAGAATACACTAAACATGCTGTCATTTCTTTTTTGTGATAAATTTAACATTTCATGCAGCAAAAATATTGTAGCTTGCTTAATTGTTAGCACATGCTTTGAATTTTAACTCATTAAAGTAGATTATATGATAAGATACTAGAAATTTTCATTGAATGCTCATGTAGTTGGATGTAAAAAGGTTAATACAAAAATGTAACTGTGAATTAATTTTCAAGGCACATGACTGATAAACTTAGCATAAAATTGAGTAATAACTAAATATTAAACCTCATTCTTATAAGAAATATAAATATTTTTGGACAACAGAAAAAACTGTACTGATGACATTCAGAATATTCAACAGTCCAAAGTGACCTAAAAGCTAATGTGAATTAGCATAGAATATTTTTGGTTTAACAACTCATTCTAAAAATTTACATTTAAAATATATCATGTTTTAAAAGAAATAGATCTAAAAATTACATGTTTAACAATAAGTAGCAACAAACAAACTCTTAAAATTTAGGCTGAAAAATTTCAAAGTAATTTTACCCCACCGTGCTGGTTCCAAAGCAGCTGTATACTATAATAAGGAACATATCTTACCTCTGCTAAAGATTTGATAAATTCTTGATGTAGTTGAAGCATTTTCCATTTGATTGATTCATTTTGTTCACTTGTTAGTAGAGGATGGGGGAAGAGGGTCGTAAACAGCTCTTCAAAAATGACCTTAATGAAAATATGTGTCTGTACTGTGCCATTGTTTCAGCAGGACTGCTAATGTATGGAACGTGTAGTGCTGCTTAGAGGCTGCTGCAGTCTCTCACTCTTCCCACTGTGCAATCAATAAGCCTCTGAAAATACATAATGAAAGTAATTTAACATACTGAAGCCTTCTTGTCTCCAGAGACAACATTTAGATTCAGTCTTTCTAAAAAGGAACGGCACTGCTTTTCCCGAGGAAAGCCTGTTCTGAGCAGCTTTTGCAGAATGACAGCCTACCTTGTCGCTTCTCTCCACTGCAGAGAGATGCAGTGCATTCACTAATTGTGATTGGTCAGTTGTATTGGGCTTAAACTGTGCTTCATATGTATAGCAGGGATCCCCCCCCCCACTGTTTTATATAAGGACTCTTTTTAAAAACAGTATATATTGTTCTTAAAAACAGTGTGAATAAATTAATCTTTCTAAAATGTGTATTTCAGTTTGTTGATTACTTATTCTAAACATTAAAAACTAAGGAGGGTGGGGGATAGGGAAATATGCACAGTAAAGTAATATTTTCTATTTGAAGTCTTGATAATGGTACTTGTGATATTTTCAAAACTGTTTTTGGTTGATGTTTATGCTCTGCAAATGGAAATCCACTCCACCTTTACTGTGACCCATATTAAATTTCAGCTAATTTGTTTGTATTCATTTCTAGCCCAAGTTGTTGTGAGCATCTCAAAGTGTTAAACATTGTCATGACTTCAACGTTCATTCATTCAGCTATTTCATTTTATTCCTTCATTCATTCAAAATATTAAATTGAGCTAAGGTGATTGTATCCTATAACAGTTTATAAGCATTCTATTGCTAATAGCTTAGTTGGAGTGTATAAAACTTTAATCATTTGCTTTACTTTTGGAGGTTACTACTCTTCACCTTAGGTAACTGTTACTTAGTGGGTTTACACTGATCATTTGCAATCAGTATTTTATTTCAATTGGCCTTTTTTATTTCTAATATGGCACTTTTTTTAGTGGATGGTTATTTCTTAAATATTGTATGTATCTGTATGCTAATGTTGTTGAAAATATATGTGGTTAATTATAAAAATAATATTTAAGATATGTGAAAATAATAGAATAGTGATAAATATTAATGTAAATTTAAGTTTCTGTTGTCTTTGATTATCTATAAATATATTTCTCTTCTCAATAGTAATGATAAATTATTTTGGACTTAGTATGTATGAACTGGATTTTTTAACTGTTGGCACATAAGATGCCCTAGTTGATAGCTGAATTATTAAAATATTAATCATCACTTGTTTCTGTTATTTTAGGAATATTATCTTCAAAATCCTGTATTTAGAATTGTTCTAATTTTGAAAAGCATAATCTTTTTTTTTTTTTTATCTTTCTTAAGTATTACTTAAGATTTGTAGGGGAATAGCTGATGAGTACAGGTTTTGAATTGCATTTTTATAGGAGAGTAGTTGAGAGTAATGTGAAAATTTTTGTTGTAAATTTTTTAAATTTGCTGCACGGCTTTGGGGTTTGGTAGTGCTAAAAATGAAAATGTGTGTTATTAATGAATTTTGAAAGTTGGGGAAAAGGGTCTTATTAGAATTTCAGCCTCACTGATACACATTAAATATTATTTTTAAGCTTAAAATTAAAATCAGAGAAAATGTGCTATCAGTTGAAGCTTCTCATAGGGATAAGGAAATTATATATATCACATATATCATGCTTTTCTGCCTAAGAACTCCAATGTTTGGTTAGGTTTGTTATCAGATATTTCCATAAAGTACAAGAAACTAAAGCACAGAGAAATCTATTTACTTAAAAGAATCTAGAAGTGTTACCAACAGAGTCAGGACTAGAACTATGCAAACCACACCCTGTTAATTTGTCTCCTTCTCTTTGGAAGAGTGTCAAAGTACTTGAATTGGATGATTTGGGTTCAGTCATTTAATTACAGCATAACCTTTTTGTTGAAATATATTCTATGCTTTGTTTCTGCATGAGATAGTTTTGAAAAAACAAAACAAAACAACAAAACATGAAGTTTCATTAAGCAGTACCAGCAGCAGAAAAGCTCATTTCTGGACACTGCTTTGTATTCCTTGTATAGTGATATGTAGTTAAAAGATATGTAGCACAACAACATTTAGTTTTTAATCAACTGAATGCTTAGTTGAATTTTATTTCTTTTTAAAAGAACACAAATTTATTTGGTGCTTATGTTACTCAGATCTTTATAGGGTATCTCTAACTTACCTTATTTTTAGATGTGCTAATATCTAAACCACTGGATTGAGAATCAGATTATATTGTTTTTGTAAAAAATCTCATGAAAACATGTCAGAATTTATAGATTCTTGTTTCCATAGTAACAGATTTTCATATTTGTGCATATAGTATAATTTGTATTCATGTACAATATTGATTTTGAAAAACGCTGCAGTTGGTGACTTAAACCTAATTTTATGTCACAATTTTGTAGGTTTGTGTGTTTATTAGTAAATGGGACAGCAGTTTGGCTTCACATTGATGACAAAACAACAAAGGTGAATGTAATCCTAAAATGTCTCAATTAAAAGCATTTTTCAAGTAATGTTTATCTTTTTAGTTATAAATATTCTGATTGGATATTTCTTTTTATTTCTAAAAATCTTGATATGAGGTCTTTAATTTTTAATTTTATATATTTGTCTTAAATTTGGACAATCACAAGCGTAATTGGTTATTATATTTATACCACACTATTTGTATCAAATTATTCTTATCCAGCCTGTGGCTACTTATTCTACATTTTTGATGATTCTCTGACTTTATAAATTAAAAAAAATCAACTTTGTGAAATACTGGAATTAACCATAATTCAAAGTGCTTTGGAATTATTTTTGAAATATATATGCAAAGTCAACTTTCAATTGCAGGGAATTACTTTTTAAACTGTTTACCTTCAGAAAATGTGTTGTCAGTGAATACTTAACATAATTAACTCTGAACTCTTTCTGATATTGGAGCCCAAGAAAGACAGGATTATTTCAGTTGGAAGCCAATTCAAAAATCCGATTTGGCTTCTTGACTTTAAATTTCTTTCACAACAAATGTTTTATAAGAAAAATAGAAATGGGCCATCTGCTGAAACCTCCACCAAGTGGGGAGTAGCCAAGATAGTGGAGAATTAACAACTCTGATGACTCATTATCTATAGAGAATAATTAAAACTAATTATGTTGGATAAAGTACATGCATGAGAATTGTAACAGAAAATTCCACAGGCCATTCTTCCTCATCCTTCCCTACCTCACTTAAGTAAAAATTTTACTTTTATGTTTCCTTCTATATATTTATGCCATTTACCAGCATACTTTACACAGATAAATACTTGATACTTTTTCCACAGTTTAATCTCCTTTTTTATACACCATTGGCATGTCTTTTGGGGGACTTTGTCCAAATTATTACTCAACCCAACTTCTCTGGCTTACCATTTTTTTTTTTGATTTTTTTTTTACATTTATTTATTTATTTAGTGTGTGTGTGTGTGTGTGTGTGTGTGTGTGTGGCCAGCTCAGCCCACCAGGGGGCGGGGCGGGCTGGCATGTGGTGCTGGGGGATTGAACCGTGGTCCCTGTGGTTTACTAAGCTTGTTCCAAGTAGGTGCTTTAGACCACTGAGCCATCTCACCAGCCCCATGGCTTACCATTTTGACTATCTGATATCCCTCTTTGCATCCTTCAGAAAGTATGGAATTTTTTTTTTTTTGGATGTTGTTGATGGTTTTATTTATTTCTCTGCTACTGGAAAAATAATATAGTATTGAGCTGTATTCCTAGCTTTTCTTCCTTCTTCTCCCGCTTTATTTTTGGGAGCATGGCTCTGTGCAGCCCAGGCTAGCCTTAAACTCATGATCTTCCTGCCTCATCCTCCTTAGTGCTGGGACTGTTTTTTTTAAAATTTTCAGGCAAGATCTTGCTAAAATACCTATTCTAGCTTTAAACTTGTGATCCTTCAGTCCTCCTTAGCACGTGGAGTTATAAGTGTGCCCAATATTCCTCTTATATTTTTAATCAAAGAATTGCATGAATAGCCATGTTTGTGCTCCTTGCTCCTTCTACTGTTTTTTTCTTGTTCCTGCCTTTCTTTTGTATAATTCTCCCACTCAAAGTTATTGTGCAGAATCAAATTCATTTCTGTGTCTTGAGGCTGAGTCAGTTGCTCAGCTGTTTTATGTTTAACAAAGCTGTGTCAAGTCTTCAGTGCAGTGTGAGTCCTGCACTCTGGTGGGAGACATAGTTGAATGGCACTGTACCATAATCTAATGGCCTGTTTTTGAAACTAGTTCCATACATAATGTTTGTATAAAAAAGGCTGCCATTCTTTATATGTCAAGCTGGAGAATGGCAGAATTCTTCTATAGACAGTAGCTCCTTTATTGACTAATCCTCATTTTACCACTTAGATCGATCATTTGGAAAAATAGACCTAATTTAAAGAATTTTCTAATAATTCTTAAATACTATAATCACTGATGACTTTTTGATGGTTATATTCACCATTGTATATTTAAATACTGCTACTGCATTCTAGTCTTCATTTCAGTTTATAGTGTCTAGAAAAAGTTCTGCTGTCACTATTATAAGGGAATTTATGCATCAATTTAGGGAAAATTGACTATTGAATCATCCAACTTCTGGGTAGTGTTTGTTAATTTTGTTATCAAATGCTCTACCCCTGAGCTATACCAAGTATCTGTTCACTTGAACTTGAACCCAGGATTTTTGTGCTTAGCTATATCTCCAGACCTTTTTTATTATTTATTTATTTTTTTTATTTTTTATTTTTTTTTATTTATTTGAGAGAGAGAGAGAGAGAGAGAGAGAGAGAGAGAGAGAGAGAGTGGTGTGTGTGTGTGTGGCCAGCTCAGC